GATGATTAATTAATCATTAATCAATATTCCAGCCATGTCGGGGGATTATGATGACGATGTCCGTGTCCCGCGTTCCATCGATGTTTAATCAATGATGATTAATTAATCATTAATCAATATTCCAGCCATGTCGGGGGATTATGATGACGATGTTTGTCGCGGCGCGCTCCGTCTCGTGCACGAGCTCTGCTTCGCCCCCCGCTCCCGCCCCCCCCACGCGCGGTGCCTCGAGTTCACCGACCTGCTGAGACACCGCGGGCACCCCCGGCCCGCAGACACAGGTACGGCACACCTGGGCACACCTGGGCACAGGTACGGCACACCTGGGCACACCTGGGCACACCTGGGCACACCTGGGGACAGGTACGGCACACCTGGGCACACCTGGGCACACCTGGCCACACCTGGGCACAGGTACGGCACACCTGGGGACAGGTATGGGCACACCTGAGTACACCTGGGGACACCTGGGTACACCTGGGCACACCTGGGTACACCTGGGCACACCTGGGCACACCTGGGCACACCTGGGGACACCTGGGGACACCTGGGGCACACCTGGACACAGGTAAAGGCACACCTGGGCACACCTGGGCACACCTGGGCACACCTGGGTATTGGTACAGCACACCTGAGTACTGATATGGGCACACCTGGGCACACCTGGCCACACCTGGGTACAGGTACGGCACACCTGGGCACACCTGGGTGCACCTGGGCGCACCCGGGTACAGGTACGGCACACCTGGGTACACCTGGGTACACCTGGATACACCTGAGTACAGGTACACCACACCTGGGTACAGGTATGGGCACACCTGGGCACACCTGGGCACACCTGGGCACACCTGGGGACAGGTACGGCACACCTGGGTATAGGTACAGCACACCTGGGCACGCCTGGGGACAGGTACAGCACACCTGAGTACAGATATTTTAAATTTTGGGTGGATTTTTTCGGGGATTTTTGTGAATTTCTGTGGATTTGGATGGAATTCTGTGGTTTTGTGATTTTGGTTAAATTTGGATGATTTTTGAGTGGATTTTGGGTGGATTTTTATGGGAATTTTGTGGATTTTGGCCGAATTTGGGCGGATTTTTGTGGGGATTTTTATGGAATATTTTAAATTTTGGGCGGATTTTTGTGGGGATTTTTGAATTTTGGGGGGATTTTTACGGGGATTTTTGTGAAATATTTTAAATTTTGGGTGGTTTTGGATGGAATTCTGTGGGTTTTGTGATTTTTGGTTAAATTCGGATGATTTTTCAGTGGATTTGGGTGAATTTTGGGTGGATTTTGGTGGGAATTTTGTGGATTTTGGCCGAATTTGGGCGGATTTTTGTGGGGATTTTTATGGAATATTTTGAATTTTGGGTGGATTTTTTCGGGGATTTTTATGAATTCCTGTGGTTTTGGATGGAATTCTGTGGTTTTGTGATTTTGGTTGAATTTGGATGATTTTTGAGTGGATTTTGGGTGGATTTTTATGGGAATTTTGTGGATTTTGGCCGAATTTGGGTCGATTTTTACCGGGATTTTTATGGAATATTTTGAATTTTGGGTGGATTTTTTCGGGGATTTTTATGAATTCCTGTGAATTTGGATGGAATTCTGTGGGTTTTGTGATTTTGGTTAAATTTGGATGATTTTTCAGTGGATTTGGATGAATTTTGGGTGGATTTTTGTGGGAATTTTGTTGATTTTGCCTGAACTTGGGTGGATTTTTTCGGGGATTTTTATGGAATATTTTAAATTTTGGGTGAATTTGGATGGAATTCTGTGATTTTTGTGATTTTGGTTAAATTTGGTTAAATTTGGATGATTTTTCAGTGGATTTGGATGAATTTTGGGTGGATTTTGGTGGGAATTTTGTGGATTTTGGCCGAATTTGGGTGGATTTTTATGGAATATTTTGAATTTTGGGTGGATTTTTGTGGGGATTTTTATGAATTCCTGTGAATTTGGATGGAATTCTGTGTTTTTTGTGATTTTTGGTTAAATTTGGATGATTTTTGTGTGGATTTGGATGAATTTTGGGTGGATTTTTATGGGAATTTTGTGGATTTTGGCCGAATCTGGGTGGATTTTCACAGTGATTTTTATGGAATATTTTGAATTTTGGGTGGATTTTTGTGGGGATTTTTATGAATTTCTGTGGATTTGGATGGAATTCTGTGGTTTTGTGATTTTGGTTAAATTTGGATGATTTTTGAGTGGATTTGGGGTGGATTTTGGTGGGAATTTTGTGGATTTTGGCCGAATTTGGGTCGATTTTTGTGGGGATTTTTGAATTTTGGGCGGATTTTTGTGGGGATTTTTATGGAATATTTTGAATTTTGGGTGGATTTTGCCCGATTTCGATGTTTTTAATCCCGCAGAGGTGTCGGTGAGCCTGCTGTCCGTCATTGTCACCTTCTGTGGCCTGGTCCTGCTGGGCGTGTCCCGGGGGGATTTTGGCCGAATTTGGGGGGATTTTTACGGGGATTTTTATGGAATATTTTAAATTTTGGGTGGATTTGGATGGAATTCTGTGGTTTTGTGATTTTGGTTAAATTTGGATGATTTTTGAGTGGATTTTGGATGAATTTTGGGTGGATTTTGGTGGGAATTTTGTGGATTTTGGCCGAATTTGGGTGGATTTTTTCGGGGATTTTTATGGAATATTTTGAATTTTGGGGTGGATTTTTGTGGGGATTTTTATGAATTTCTGTGGATTTGGATGGAATTCTGTGGTTTTGTGATTTTGGTTAAGTTTGGATGATTTTTCAGTGGATTTGAGGTGGATTTTTATGGGAATTTTGTGGATTTTGGCCGAATTTGGGTGGATTTTTTCGGGGATTTTTATGGAATATTTTGAATTTTGGGTGGATTTTCGGTGATTTCGATGTTTTTAATCCCGCAGAGGTGTCGGTGAGCCT